ATGAAAGCCCGGCCCCAGACGCTCGACCGATCGATCGCCGCTCGCTCGAACGGCAGCCGGGACCGCGAAGGGAACGCTGCCCTTCTCCGCGGCTGATTTTCAGCCGTCTCCAGCTTGCTGCACGCTGCTTTCACGCTTCATTAGTCGATGGAAAAAAAAATACAGCCACGCCGTTGTGCGGCCATCGCTGCTGTCAGCGCCCAGCCCTGCGTTCGTCGCCCCTGCGCGCGTCAAGGGCTTGCAATTCACTCCGCGCGCTTCTCCTTCGGCTGCGAGACATCAGGGACAAGACCCAGCAATAACACTTCGCTTTTTTCCATTAGCTACCACGCAACGGAGGGCCACAGCCACGCCTGGCTCTCCCCAGGGAATACCCCACGGTCACGGCAGGTCCCCCCCGGTCGCCCTCTCCGCAGCCCGAGCCCACGCCAATGCCAGCACCCGCTCGCCCGGTGAAGGGCTCCCTGTCCCGGAGGTGGGGTGCACCCACGGCACGCCTGTGCTACAAATCAAGCAGTGAAATACACCACTCTTAGGAAAAATAAAGAAAAAATAGAAGGAACGAGCACCCAGAAACCAGTCAGGTATTAAAGTCTGGCACAACACTCATCAAAATGAGCGATTTTTATGCTATGCACTCCTCTGCTGCAAGGTAGAGGAAGTTATTCTGCAGCTGAAAAGGCTGGTTAGCAGAAAGGGCCAGCCCTTTACTAGAAATATTTTAATTTTTGACCTTGTACTCAGAAGATCACCTCTCAGTCACGACAGTTTAAGCAATCTTCACAGCTCTTTGGGCGCTGACGCGCTGGTCGGGGTATTGAGCAGCTGCGTTGCAGTTTTACATTAAGCACTTAAAAGCTTTTTACGGTGACAGCGGCCTAAGATGGAAAACCACTGCTCACCCTCCCCGGTAAATTCTCAGGAGAGCGGAGAGCTTGGTTATGGAGAGGGCTGGCCCTGCCCTGCCTGCTCCGAAGGAGACGGGTCCTGCTCCACACCAGCTCCCGCCACCCACAGCGTCCCACGACCAACACGCGACCGCTGCCGTTTTGTCCGTGTCACCCGTGTCCGAGCCGCGTCCAGGCACGCTGGGACGCAGCCACGCAGGGGACTCGCAAGCGCGGGAACACCGAAGCGCTGTTATCGTCACACCGCGGGCTCCGACGGGACTGTCCAAAGCTTCTACAGCAGCCTTGTCCGTTACCAAATGAGCGCGCCAACACACCGGGCAGACTGATTTTGTTTCCAACGCCCCCCTTCTCAGTTTGCTTATTCCTTCTTTATTCTGATTCTCAAAAAGCCATCCCTGAACCCGCTGCCTTCCAGCCCACTCTGTCAGTAACACATCTTAAATTCCCTCCTCAGCCCAGTGCCTGGACCACGCAGCAGAGACTCCTGAAACGCTAAGGATTTCGGTTTGTGTTTCCAAAACACGTGCTTCACGGGCCACATGTTTTGTACTCGGTTTTAGTTCAAGCAATTTGATGAGAAAAAGGCATATGAAATCAAAACATACTAAGGACTGACAGAGGTTAAGACCAAAAATCCAAAATAATATAAAATAACACTGACTTACTGATTTTTTCTTTCTATTTCTTTCTTTCTGCTGCTCTTAAACCCTTTTGCTTTTTACTGGTGCTGTTCAACCTCATGCCTCAACCTCCAGCTTGTCCACTCACAGTTTTGCAAATTAAGAAACCCAGACAGACAGACTTGTATCATCACCTCCTGTGAAAGAATATACTCAGAAAAAGCCAGCCAGAGAGACTGCCAGCCTAAAAAAAAGGAGAATAAA